GGGGGGGGGGGGGGGGGGGGGGCAAAAACAGTAAAGTGGTTTCATACTCTTAAGGTTTATTATTTATTTATTTATTTGTTTGTTTATTTGTATGTGTTATGCATGTCAGGTTGTTCGTGCTGGTTTGAAAATTGAAATTGCTCCAGACCTGATCGCCAACCAACTTAATGTTCGAAATGGAGCTTTGATTCTGCAGGTATATTGCTGTCACTGTTGACCCTGCCAGGGACAGTTATCCTTTAGAGTAGAACTCGCAATATCTCTTTTGTCTGAATGGCTTCCTGCGCTATTTAGGTACCTGGAAATAGTCTTGCAGCCAAAGCTGGACTTCTTCCTACTACCAGGGGTTTTGCAGGAAATATAGTACTTGGTGATATTATTGAAGCAGTGGATGATAAACCTGTGAGTGATTTCTGTTTTAGGTCTTGTTTCTTGTGTTAGGGAATAGGGGGCAAGTTGTTTGTTACTGCAAATTGATGATATGAACATTGCTCTTGGCCTCCAACCTGCAGGTCTAGAGTTTGAGTAATGTGAGGTGTGAGTGACTGGAAAACTAGTGTTGATTCCCGTAGGAGGTTAGGGAAAAAGAAAGAAAATAAATTTTCCTTGTCTGCTTAAGCTTGAAAGGATAAGGTTTGGTTGGAAAGCACAAGTAATGAGGTGATTGGAGTGATAAGGGAAGAGAGCGCAAACGAATGAAAAGGGTTAAATTAGTTTATTATGCTCTAACTAGTCCCTTCAGTTTTTCTCTTTCCCACTCTCATTGGTGAGATGGATTTATTTTGTTGGTTATTGTTCTAAGCAAGTCTGCATTTCTGAGATGCGCTCATTTGATGTTGTTGCAGGTTCGGAGTAAAGCAGATTTGTATAAAGCCCTGGATAACTATAACATAGGTGATGAAGTTCGGCTAAAAATTCGTAGGGGCAACGAAAACTTGGAGTTGAGCATAGCATTAGAGGAAAAGGATTCATGACAATTGGATCTTTCTAGTTTTCAGTTTAATTAGTGCCATCAGTTTACCTATCGTTCCAATATCTGTATACTATAATTAAGAATTGTCTGGCGGGAATCTGAAAATGTATGGAGCTTGTTTAAATGCTGCCAGCAGAATGAATCACTTGTAAAGTATTTTGAGTTATTATTAAAATGAGCAATCCTTGTATTCTTTTACGCAACAATGTTTCGCCTCTTCCAGTTCTTGCTATTTTTCTGAAAATTTAGGTTGCCACATCAATTCATACTTAGTGGCGTTTGGGCATAAGAATTGTAAAATTCCAAAACAGGGTGAAAAAATTTTCAAAATGAAAATGGTATCTGAAATTCAGAGTTGTGTTTGGACATGGATATAATTTTGGGTTGTTTTTGAAGTTCTGTGAGTGATTTGAGTGAAAATTTTGAAAAACAGTTTTTTGGAGTTTTTTAAATTTTCGAAAATTTTCAAAATGCATCTTCAAGTGAAAATTGAAAATTTTATGAACAAACACTAATTTCGAAAAAAGTAAATTTTGTTTGAAAAAACGGAAAAATTTCTTACGTCCAAAAAGGCTCTAAGGTGTTTCTCAAGATATTTTGCTCCTTTCTTCCGTTCAACGTTCTCAAAGATCATCTATTATTGACACTGGTAGGAGAGGCAAATATTTTGTGTCATTGAAAGGATAAACATTTTAAAATAATCGACTGCAATTACCCGAGAGAGAAGACAGGGAAGTCAAATGGACATAGTATCTGTACAAATTCCTTGTCAGCCCAAGGAGTTCGGAAAAACCATGAGAGCTGACTCTTCAATGGCCTTATGTTTGTAAAATAGGTACAAGTAAATTGAGGATAGGAACTAAAAGAAGATAACGTAGTTGGTAGAGATGTTGGATAAGTAGTATAACTACGTTATACATACTTTTTTCGAAAGACAAAACTAACAAGTCAAGATGGCCGAGTTGGTCTAAGGCGCCAGTTTCAGGTACTGGTCCGAAAGGGCATGGGTTCGAATCCCATTCTTGACAATAAACAATTTTTAACCCCAACTTTCCTATACACATACAGGATCTTTTCTTTTTGCCTGCATGAAAATGGTAACAACCTGAAGGAAAGATATTTCTACAAAAGAATTGACCTTTAAGGCATACTGATAATTACCCTAACAGGAAAAGGGAAAAAAAAAAAAAGCTTATATTAACAAGGGAAGAGCAAAAAAGAAGCATCTACATATATTTTCCTATGCACGAAACTAATCCTGCTTAATTTGTTGTGACACCAGACTAGTTGATCTTTTGTTAGCCTGGACATGTTGAGGACCCTAGCTACTAATTTCATGTCTACTTGAGAGAAAAAGTAGAGTACATGATCTGATTCTGAATCATCATCTTCCGTGTGTTTCCTGAACCTCCTCAGTATGCAGCATTCACCTCTCAAAGCATGTTTCAGCTTCTTTTCTTTCTGCATTCCACAAGTTTTACATAATGGGTTTAACTTCCATGCATAGACAATGTAAATGGATTTTTATATTTTCAGCTCACCTAAACGATAATTACGGGTAATACAATGATACTGTAAACTTTATTTGATACTATAGGTGTAAACTAAATCCTTGGACAAAGAGTATAAGCGAAAAACTATGAATCTACCTTTTCAAGACTTCTTTTGACGTCCATTAAAAGCTCCAAATCTTCTGGTGCTTGAAACTCTCGACGTTTCCTATTTTGACCCTTCACCATCATGTTGGAGCAATTTCTGTCAGCTCTAACAAATTGCCAAAATATTCGAATTGATTCTTCCATTATCTCAACTAGCATGTCACTTGTTATGAAATAATCATCCTTTTCTCCAGCTCTAGCCTTGTTTTTGGCTTTCATTCTGTCCTCTGCCCCATCAACCTCTTTATTAGTACATTGAATGATAAAACAAGAGTTTAAGTTTATGCACTAACAGTGTGTAAAATATATTGATAAACACTAATTGTTAACATGATAAATATGGCACAAGTTTTCACTAGTAGTGTAAGAACTCTATTTTGTTAGTGCATACAACTTTGACTCTAAAATCTTTTCAAACGCTTACCTCTTATGACAGGAACTTGAAGAAGATTACGAAGATCATATCGACTCTTGATGTAATATTGAACTCTAGGCCCTTGAAAAGGTTCATTTTCTATAAATCTTTGCAAGAGAACCTGAAACTGCTGAAACTCTCCAGCAACTTCATTATATGTACGGACACCACGAGGGTCAGAATCCCACAAACTTAAAGCCTTCCCATATTGCCAGTGCAGAAATTCCCAAGAAAGACACATCTGTGCAACGTATATGACTTCCAGATCACTCTGCAATTCTTTGATAAACTTTACCATTGGGTCAATATTGTCATGTCTTTTATGCTTCAATAGCCGAATATTTTGTGAAATAAGGGATTTTAGTTTTGGACCTGAAGATTTCTGGCTTGAGATATGTTGAAATGGATCGTTTAACGGATCTTTCTGCAGATAACCTGTAAATTTTTGGATCAGAACAGCAAAACATGAAAAGAATTTAAGTTCTCTTCACAGACTAAGTTACCTGTAATAGCATGTAATTATATAAACAAACATGGTTTGGTTACAATGATTCATTAAGTAACAAATTTATTTTTATATCGTGGAGAACAAAAATAGGAAAAAAAGGTAGCAAGTCTTTTTGCTTGTGTCTACTTCTGTTTGTTACGTCATGCATCCCAATGCTTGAGATTTCATTTTGTTCTGAGTTAGGAGAGCCCAGCTAACCAGATTTTGTGGGTCCTGTTATAAACTTTTGAATAATTAAAGACAGAGCTGCTTTATTCATTTCATGTAGTAATACTAATTGATCCAAATAAATATGAAGATAACCATCAACAACTAATACTAGTACACCAACGAAGAAAGGACGAAAAGGAATGAAGGCAGATCCAGGATTTAATGTTTATGGATTCTTGCTACGATCTCGAGTAAATTTACAATAGTAAGTGGGTTCACATTCAAACATTTATAGATATTTAGTGAATTTTTCGAACACATCAAAAACTACTGAGTTCACGTGAACCTGTAGGTGGATCCGAACCCTGCTTTTCGTGATCATTATGCAGAAAACATGGAATTCAGTTACTTTACTGTGAGAGAAAATAGTTTTTGCAAATTTGTTGTTATGAATAAAGTTCAGATTAACGTTGAAGCTGTGAGTTGTTACTGACCTATTGCGTACATCTTCTGGTACGTCAAGATGTCAAATTTGCGCATCCTTTCTCTATAACTCTTATAAAACTTATGAAGTTCAGTCATGCAATCTTCACGTTGAAACTTTTCCTCAATTTTCCATGGCTGCAAATCTTCCATTTTTAGAGACTCTGATTCTTCCAAAATGGTAGGCAAACCCGTGTCTCTAACTTTTCTAAGTTCCATTTTTAATTGTTCAATTAATTCTTGATGTTCCCACAACGTCTCCAACTTGTTTGCATCTTCATTTCTTAACTTGACAGTTTCTTGAAAATCATCCTCAGATAAAAATTGTTGTGCTTGATCATGTTCTAATTTCCTTAGCTCTTCCATTATATCACTATCAGAATCTTCAGATTCTTGATTTTCCTCAGACATTTCAAAATCACTTAGTTTTTCATTATGCTCAAATTCACCACCAAAGTCTTCATCAGTCAAGAAGCCATCACTATACTGATCAACTAATTTATTCATAAGGTAACGAATATGCTCAAAACCAATTGACACACTATCAGAATCAGTTAATGAATCCTTCTCAGATTCAAACAGAAACTCATCACTAATATTTGATTCTCCTTTCACGGAATTGAGTTCTTCACTTTTCTCCATTTCCTCTTCATCACACGTTAAGTTACCTGAATTCCCTTTTTCTTCCTCATTAAAGGCTTCACTTTTACTATGAACTTCTTTCAAATCCTCTGTTTCAACAACCTCTGTTTCTGTTAGGGACTTATGGTTACACGTGGAGGGCATCCATTTAGAGCTAACAAATTCACCTTTTTCTTCCCTGCTCTTACAGAATTCTTCATAGGATGGAAATCTAAATGTAAAACTGAACTCAGTTTTTTGTACCTCCCCATTATTTTCCGAATCTGGGAATTCAGAAGCATCCTTAAAAGCTTCAGACTCAGAATCTAACTGTCGTTCTGCCTCTGAAAAAGCAGATTCTTTTTTATAGTCTTCTTTAAAGTCTGGATTCTTGTTTAATGAAGCATTACCCCTTCTTAATCTGTAATTTAAACAAAGAAAAATAAGCAGGATTGTTAAAATAATGGAAAATAAAAAAAGGGCATTGGAAAAAATTGAATCTTGATTTACATAAATAAATACCTGAGGAAGAAAGTGGTGATGAAGCTGAACAGAGGAGACAAATAGGTGGAAACAGAGGCAAACGCGGTAGTAAGCGACAAAAAAAGATTTTGATAGAGGAACCGAGAAAGAGAAGCCATATTCAGAGAAGAGAAGAAAATTTGAGAGTGGCCATGGATATTAAGCACAGGTGGAAGCAAAGAAACAGAGCAAAACAGAGGTTGGAGGAGAATTTATGTACCCGTTTGAATTTGTCAAAGAGAGAAATAGACTAATCACCTGTAAAAAAATACAACGAACCCCATGTCAAAAGTTAGCAAGATTTGCAAGCAAATCAAACTAATTTGGAAGTAAAAATTCGACCTAACTGTGAAAATTCACGTAGTGGACAGATTTACGAGCAACAATTGAGGGTAGGGATAGTTACTTGTCAGCGACTTGGCCTAATTGATATCCTTATTCTTCACAAAGAGAGAGAGAGAGAAATTTGTCGTTCAAAGATATCCACATAATGAGTAATTATCAGTTGAGAAGTCCTGTTTTTGCTGCTTATTCTTTGAGGTGTTGAATGTTGGGGTTGGGGTGGGGCTGGGAGTGGGGGTGGGGTGGGGGGATATATAGAGAAAGGAATATTTATTGGGGTAAGATTTGAACGTTGACAGCTTCTTTGTTTATCTCTTTTTTTTTTTCAGGTGTAGGAGCTTACGTTGCAAACGTCTTTCATACGCCAAGTGTCTTTGACATTATGGATTCTCGGGTTTTATGAATTGGCCAACTAAATGAAAAAAAAAAAAATCAATATTACTTGCCTTGAAAAGAAGAAGAAAATATAGAAGAAAATTCTTTGTAAGCATAGCCTGCCCTGGTGGTGGCAAATGGATACAAGTGATCAGTTAATCGCATTTCCAATATTAATCAAAAGTTGAACTACCTGGTTTGAATATCTAAGTGTTTTCCGCGTAAGAATATGTATTGCTTGTAAAGAAAGCACAATGTTCATAATCACAATTCGTTTTAACATAATTAATTGGTGAAGGGTGCAACTTAATGTGAAAAGCATGAAGCCGATAACGTGAAAGATTCCATCAAAATAAGGTGGCTGGAGTTCTTTAATATTTGAACTTTTCAAACAACAACATTAAAAATATGTGAAGGTTCACAAATTAGACGTGTTTATGATGCTTTTGACTAAAAGTTGGAGAAGAGCGTAGAACACTTTTTCTATGTACCACATTGGGACTGCACAATCGAATGGAATTGACACATTTTTCGTAGGCACTACTGCATTGTTGTTTCTGAAACTAACCATGCCATTTTTATAGGAAACGAATAATAAAGACAACGAATGATAATGTTGTGTTTGATGACAATACCCCAATTAGAACAGCCATAATTACAAGAAGAACATACTTGAGACTATTTTCTTTTACTTAGTTATACTATATTAGAAATTTATTTACCTATTCTTTTTTTATGTTTTATTGTTGTTGTTGTTGTTGTTGCTGTTTCTCCTTAAAAAAGTCTCATCCCATTATTAGTATCTTCAATTAAGAGATTCAAGTACATCCTTTCTTTTTTTTATCATTTCCTCTTCTCTATCCTTCCTTTTTATTTACATTAAAATCCCTTAATCCACGCCCAGAATCTCCATCTTCTCTCTTCCTACCATTTCCGACAACTTCATATTATTAGAAAGTCATCAATTGTGTCGTTCTTTTGCTGGAAGATGAGACAACAATGAAAATGAAACTCCTGCTCCATCATGCACCATCAAAACCGGCACTCTCTCTACTATCAGTCCTACAAACACTATTTGGTTCTGGCAAGATCAACTTATTCAAAATGCTCTAATGGCATCTGTTTATCCAACAATCGCCTTTACTGTTGCAGCTGCAGACACAACAAAAATTGCCCGCGATGCATTGCGTACTACGTATGCAAACAAGTCTCAATCCAGATTACTCAGCCTTCGTGATCGGCTTGCGCGACTCACAAAAATATCCAAGCCAGTTACTGAATACTTGCAAACTATTGAACGAAAAAGACAGGCGGATGGAGAAACTATTCTTTTTTTAATAGAATCATGGATCTATTGACGTCTGCAGATCAATCTATGGCGTCCACACACATGAATAATTTGCAGAAGTCGTGTCAAATTATTGTTAGAATATAATTTTTAATTTTTTTGATTTTAAGACTTGTGGTTTTGAAATTTTATTTCACGTTATAGATATTTATTTCGGATTATTTGTGCATACGGGTGAACTCGAGGTCAGCACACACCCGAGTTCTCGGTGAGTCAAACAAAGTAAGAAGTATGAATGTATGAGATAGAGATCGAATCTGAGAACTCTTTCAAACAAGGCTGGAACGGGGTGCTCGCCTGTTACACCCCATGTTTTCGTACGTAAGAGTATGTCTTAAGTCAATTGATGTCAGAACAAAAATGAGATCATCTTTGGAAGTATATAAAGTAAGTTATCATGTTACCTCTGATGTTACATATATTGAAGATCATGAACAACAAGTAGAAAGAGGGTTGGAAGGTTTAGAAGCTAAGGAATTGAAGAAAACAATGTTTCGACGAAAGTCGACAAGTTGGGAATATTATAACATGTACTTTTGGGGTGAGACTAGGGTGCTTAACATGATAAGGAGGTTATGTTATGAGTTATGTTAGTCGTATAATAGTCGTGTTTTATGTTTTAAAGTCAAGCGAGTTGTGGAACAAAAGTCGATGAAAGTCATTACAAGTTACATTCATAAGTTTTACTGAAAATTTGGGTCAAATGTAACTGCCATTTTCTCCCGATATACTTAGATTTATGGGGTGTTCCACCCATCAAATTGAAGCTCTATGAGTCCATTTTTTATTTCATAAATCATTTGTCAATACAACATCAGAGTGTATATATATATATATATATATATATATATATATTATATATATATATATATATAAATATATATATAATATATATATATATATATATATATATATATATATATATGTATTTTTGTGAGACTGCACAGGCTGCTAGATGACAAGTAGGTATCTCACCCACTTGCTTAAATGAGAGTCCAAAAAGGGGCTATTTCGGGTCGGCCAAAGAGCCGAATTTAAGGGCTTATCTCCTGAAATATAACAATCAATTATATAACACAATAACCAGGCTTAAACCCCTACAAACATCCTCCCAAAAATTGCCCACAAACCCTAATCAATTTTCTCTCTTTTTGAAGTTCTAGTTGGAGGTAAAACCTAGAGTTTGAAGAACCAAGATAGGAGATGAGTTATTCAAAAAATTAGGTATGTTTACTGCTCTCTTTCATCCATTTTTTCTGTTGTAGATGTATGGAAAGTTGTTCTATAATTGTAAGAACTAATGGGACGGTGATCGGAAGCCGTGAGTTCGAGTTGTTCACTTATAGCAAACTGTTTTGTGGACTGTTTTGTGTTGTTGTTGGATTGCGTATTTTACTACTATTTTCTGGAGTTTTGGAGGAGGAAGTTTGTGGAGAAACACCACATAAATGCGGGGTGGAGGGCTGGTCGTTCGTGGTAACATATTCGGGCTGTTTGACACTACTACGATGGTCGTTTTGTGTATGAATAGATTGGGGTGTGTTCGGCTGTTTTGTAGTATTTTGTGGTGTATATAAGATTGGAAAATAATGTATATATGTTGATATTGTTGTGTTCTTATGTTGTTGGTGTTATCTTGAATTTGGAGGAAGTAAGGATTATAGGGGAGATGTTGTCCATTTTTATACAAAATAAGCTTGCCGTTCGTTGTGTGATAGTTGTACCTTTCATAACATAATGATAGTATTATTATCGTTGTTGTAGTGCGAAGAGTCGAGTTAAACTTGGCGATTGGAAAGATTGTGATAAGGTATGTTAAGGCTAAACCTTTCTTCATTTTGGCATGATCCCGTAACTACATGAATTTGATAACGAGGCATAAAGAGAAGTTCGTATTCCTGAACTTATGTACATTTTTCTAGTGTCATAAGTTACATTATTCTCCCTTATCGGGACTTCATATTCAGTTTACTTTTGTCTTATTTCAGCCAAGAGAGCAGAGAGTATATATATATATATATACACACACACACACACACCACCATTGAGCTATAATCGATGGGCAGGCCCCTATTGGGCAACCTCCGATCAGATGGTAAGATATATACCGAGCCTACTATAGTCGAGCGCCTATGAGCGAGCCTAGAGTGGCCGAGATACAGAGCCTAGTATGGCCGAGCGCCTATGAGCGAGCCTACTACAGCAGAGCAGTTACATATACCGAGCCTTATAGAGCCGGACATCTATTTTACTTACTATATTGAGAGAGATGAGTCAGTATCAACAGGTAAGCATATTTCAAATTGTATTTGACTCCCAGGTACTTTCAGTTATTATATTTTCAGTTCAGTTTCAACTTTCAATTATTCTGTTGCCTTACATACTCGGTACATTATTTCGTACTTACGTCCCTTTTGCTGGGGACGCTACATTTCATGCCTGCAGGTCCTGATAGACAGCTAGATAGACCTTCTCAGTAGACAAGGTCAAACATCAGCTTGGTTGGTAAGCTCCACTTCCTCGGAGTTACCAGGTCTATACCTCGGAGTCCATTTTATATATACAGGTTTGATGGGTAGGTCGAGGCCCTATCCTGACCATGATAAGGTTAGTTATCCCTAGAGGCTTGTAGACGAATTCTGTACATTTTTTATATCACTATTGTGGCTTTACCAGCCCTATGTAGATGTTTAGTTTGGTATTACTAGTTGTAGACGTTATTTTCAGATGATTCAGAATATGGCCTCATCGGCCTAAGTTGAGGGTTACCCCTCTAGAGTTTACAGTTATAGAGTGGCATGTTTGGGCTGAGTATGGCACCGGGTGCCGGCCACGCCTCTTCAGGTTTGGGGCGTGACAAACTTGGTATCAGAGCAGTTTATCCTAGGGAGTCTACAAGTGGTGTCTAGTAGAGTCTTGTTTATGGGTGTGTTGTGCACCACTCTTATAGCAAGAGGCTACAGGGTATTTAGGACTGTCACTCTTTTTTCTTACTCTAGATCGTGTGGTAGAGCTCAGTTGTAAGATTCAAACTCCTAAATTTTATTTTAGCCGTAATACAACAATACATACATCCAGAAAGACAGTTGGGAAGATATTGAATATGGTTGTGGAAGAGTTGAGTCAGAGGAACTCGATTTTGCATCATTCTTATGATGAGTAAATGTGAGGTCTTCAGAAGATCATGTGTGTACTAAGATGTGTAAGCTTCTTGTAAGGAACCCTAACTCATGAATATATATCCACCTATTTGGTAAAAAGCAATAAGAGAGTCATAAGATAGATACAACTTTCAACAAGTAAAAGAAGCAAGGTGAAGAAGGATACGTGGTACCCAGTTAATGATGATTATCAATATTTACAATTCAAGCAGAGAAATATAAGCATTCTGAGTTACTTTCCACAGTAACAGAGATATATACAATTGGTCACACCCAACTCAGTTATGCCCTATGGGAGCTAACATTTATAGTTTAAGAGAAATATGGGATATTAGGATCCAGCTGGG